TCAGGCTGAACCACCTGCTGAAGTCATGAATAGTCCTGTTGGATGACTCAGGGTAGAAGGCCCCACTGGAGATGCCCACTGGTGGCACTGGAGGCCGAGATCAGTCTGACATGAGAGTGTTGGTGGCATTAGGTTGGTTAAAAACAAACCAACAAGCCAACAGCTACACCTTGATCCTGCCTTCCCAGGCAGGTCGCTTTGCTTCTGGAAATTTGGCATCTTCTTTTCTTTCCACAAAGTTACAGGAGAATACATTCCATTTTCAGCCTTCTGGGTCTTGGGATAAAATATCCTCTATCTCTTTGAGATATTGCAACCTTGTGCATGGTCCTGAGGGTTCAAATTTCTTTTTGCTTTAATCATCTTTACAGACTGTGTGAACTTCAAAAATAGAGCTTGGCTTATCTTTGTTATTGGAAAACATACATCCTATCAGCCAGCCCTGGAAGTCAGGACAACTAACATCTCTGGAGCGTGACATTAAATCCCCCATTTCTTTAATTATCTTCCGTGCTAAGTGCTTGCTTGAGCAGGGGGAGGAACCTTCACTAAGCTTCCACGGGAGGAGTGGGCAGCCTTGGATGGTCTTTAGCTTTAAAAACCTTCGTAAACTGCTTTTCGCTGAGAGCACTCTCAGATCATGTATCACAAAAGTTCTTTCACACTTCTTCCTAAGAGGCTTCTTTCTAGCTTTGGTGAGCTGTTGTAAGTAATATGCATTAGTACTGAAAATAAGAAAAGAAATAGGTTACTTTAGTAAATTATCCTGTTTAATATGACAGATCTTTGACAACTTTGAAAAAGGATAAAGCAGGTAAAGAAATATCCCTTTGAGGCAGCAAGCTAGGAATGCTTGTGGAAGATATATTCTTGCCTTGGAATTGCTACCGCCGACTTCAGTGTTCAGACGTCCCATTGTTATCAAACCTAGATCAGGAGTCCCTACATTGGAGGATACCCTGGGTGCGGACAGCTGAGGCCAAGTGGCGTCACCAACATGAAAGGAAGCTTGGGCACCAGTGATGAGATAAAGGGTGGGGACAGGCTCAGACCACGCAGGGACAACTGTTTCTGTCCAGAGCAGCAACATCTGTGAGGCTTCCTTTGCTTGCAGCCAACAGAACAGAATATTCGGAATTATTAAACATTCTTTCAGATCAGCTACATCTTTATCTCTGGTTTGGAAAAGTACACATGCTCCAGCAGCAAAGGAAAGAGGTCATCCAGTTCAAGCTTGAGAAACACAAGAAGCTGGTCATAGGTTAGAGGAGACACAGTCTCATGGCTGGTGGAATGTGGAGTTACCTGAGCTGAAATGTGACCAGGGAGATTTTAATAAAAATTTACCATATTTTCTTCTTTCTTTCCTTTCCTCTCTTCCACTCTTCTCCCCCCCACCCCATTCCCTTCCCTCTCCTCCTCTCTTTCTTTCTTTCCTTTCTTTTCTCTTTCTCTTTATTTCTCTTCTTCCTTCCTTCCTTCCTTCCTTCCTTCCTTCCTTCCTTTCTTCTTCTTTAAGAATTTTGTTATAGGTGGAAGAGAGATGGGAATTGGATTCCTTGGAAATATTCTTTGATTTTTGAAATAGAACTTGCACCAATATAGTATCCACTAGCTACATGTGGCTATTTAAATTTAAACTAGTCAAAAATTAAAAAATTTTGAAATGTTTATTTTTGAGAGAGACAGAGCATGAGTGGGGGAGGGGCAGAGAGCGAGAAAGAGACCTAGAATTTGAAGCAGGCTCCAGGCTCTGAGCTGTCAGCACTGAGCCCAACACGGGGCTCGAGCTCATTGACAGTGAGATCATGACCCGAGTCACAATGGGATGCTTAACTGACTGAGCCAACCTGGAGCCCCAAAGCTAACAAAAAAGAAATGAAAGCAAGCGTTCAGCATCTTGGTTGCATTGGCCACATTTCCAGTGTTCAACAGCCACATGTGTTAGTACCTACTCTAGTAGCACAGAGAGGGAATATTTCCATCACGGCAGAATGTTCTATTGTACAGGCCGCTCTAGAATGTCTTGAGCCCCTTTGCAAATATTAGAGTCCCAAATATTTGAGTCCCTTTGCAAATATTAGATAGCTACTTTATTTCTTTAAGCCTCCCGACCTCTTTGAGCTTTTTCATTTATAAAATCAGTCTAATGAGGCCTCCTTCAAAGGACTGCTATGAAATTTACATGTGACATTTACTGTATGTAATACACACATCCCAGTACCTCACACGTTATAATGCTTAATATGCGGTAGCTTAACAAGTCCATTCAGACTTGAGCCAAACACACTTGTACTTGAAGAGTACCTGTAACCTACAAAGCTTTTTGAAACAATTTCCTTGAGAATTAGACCATTTTTAGAGCATCAAGTCTTTCACCATGGTTGATGAGAGCCATTCTCAGAGTCACAAGGAGAGCGAGGCTTTTGCTTTCCAAAATGCTTTGCATCTTGATAGGAGAGAGAGAGAGAGAGAGAAAGAGAGAGAGAGAGAAATGAAAATTCCCCATGAGGGGCCGTGTTTCTAGCCCTGAACTAATTTTTTTTTTTTAAGTGCAATGAGATGAAAAATCTCTGCAAGGAGGTGTTTATGCGATAGGTGTCAACACAGCCTTGGGCCCAGACAGCCAAACCGCGGCCCTAATGGGAACTGTGTATACACAGCAAGGGTAATTACTTTGGGCTGCCGCTGCCAACATGATTTAGCAAACTCCCTGCCTGCAAAGGACTGATCATCCCCTGGAGAATGGGCCCAAATTCATTGCAACTGCACAGACCCACCTGAGTTCCCCCCCTGCCACAGGCTCTTTGAGGTCTTTTGTAATTTGCGTTCCTTAGGCAAATGGAATTTAAATTCCTTAGGCAAATTTCATCCTGATGGAACACCAAGATGGCATGCATGCCATGATCTCATTGTTTAGGATTTCTGCTTTATAATCATTAATGTATGCTTCAACAGGCGGGTGAGGTAAAGCATTTGGGCCAAATCCCACTTTGCTTTCACGAAAGCTCCTTCACCTTTCAATAGCTCTTGCTTTTCAAAGCACCTTCGCAAAGATCTCAGTTGTATTTCGTGGCATGCTTGTGTGGTGGGAATCCCGGCATAATGAGGTACTGCAGAAAGTCACAGGACCGGGGTTCTGGTCCTGGGATGCAAGTTAAGAAGCCTGTAGGGAGATGTTCCCTTTGTAACCCTGAAGCAATGCAAGATCAGAGGGGTTGGGCAGGTTGCAGTCAGAGCACAAGCCTATTCTGTGCTGGCAGGTGGAGGGGAATCTCTCCTGTTTCACAGGGAGGCCCAAGTGGAGTCTTTGTACATTTCAAACCATATATTCAATTTGCGAACACAACTGTAAGGTCTTTCAAGCCTTAACTTGAAACAAAACTTTGCCTCATATTTATTTTTACCTATGTAATTTCACCTTAAGCATCTCAGGAATAGGGACAATTGACTTCGAGATGTGGATTAATGTGATTATTTTGCTATGAACCTCCATTTTTCCTAGAGTTCTTCTCAATTTTGATGCTGGGGCCATATGGATTGGCTGTTACGATGAGACATTTATCTCCTAATTAGGTAAGGTCAACAAAGGGGCAATGGACGGGTAGTGGACCTGGGCTGGAGTCTTGATTCCTTCTTCTGGCTCTGGGGACCTTAATTTGTTACTACCTAAGGTATATCCTCATTTTAGAATAATACTTACGCTTCATGGGGTATGTGTGAAGCTTAAATTAAGTGTGTAAAGTGCACAGTAGTAGAATAAAGACCCATGAATGGTGCTACAAAATTCTACACACCATTATAGCCTTTGTCCTTGCCTGTACACACACACACACACACACACACACATACACACACCCTAACTAGTGATGTTAGAAAGTACTGATTTGGGGGCATCTGGGTGGCTCAGTCAGTTAAGTGTCCGACTTCGGCTCAGGTCATGATCTCACGGTTTGTGAGTTCGAGCCCCACGTCGGGCTCTGTGCTGACAGCTCTGAGCCTGGAGCCTGCTTCAGATTCTATGTTTCCTCTCTCTCTATCCCTCCCCCGCTTGTGCTCTGTCTCTGCCTCTCAAAAATGAACAAATGTTAAAAAAAAAAAAGTACTGATCTGGATCATTTTCCTTTATTTTTCTTTACATTTTACTTACTTTCCAGAAAAATCTCACTTGTCTCAATCAGCTCTTAAAAAGAAATCTCTTCAAGAACTATTTGTTAGAATTTTCCAAGTTATTCTATCTACGAATTGGTAAGCAAGATGCTTTGCATATCGTTATCTTGAGTTTTGTTCAATTAAGATCTTAAGCTGCCCCCCTGGGTACACAGGAACCTGTCCTCAGTCAGGACGTGGTGTATCATTTCTACGTTAGTGTCTGTGAGATTTCAGTTCCGGGAGGGCAGGGTGAGGTGCTCACTGCTGTATCTTCAGGACTGAGCACAGTGTGAGGTAAACAGTAGGGGCTGAATAATTGACTCAACTGAATCTGTAATGGGGTCTGTAAGGATGTCTCCTCCATCCTGGTAACCTCCTGCAGCCTGTTAAACAAAATAGTAGCTATGTCAGGCTTAATATGTTATGTTTTGATCTTTATTTTATTCAGTTCTGAGGAAACCAGGTCTGGAGGCAGGGACACACATTAAAAAAAAAAAAAAAAAAAGGCTTTGTGTCTTTTTAAAAATTACGAGGTTTGGTTTTTTCCCTTTACTATGCCCAGAGTGAATGTCCAAATAAAACCTCTTCTAAAAGGGATATCAGTTTCCAAGAAACAAGATTGATTAAAATTGCATCACAAAGAACTCTTCAATTTACCATCAGCGTCCACAGCCCCTATATAGGGTCTCCGCACGTCTTCACCAGTTTATACTTTAAGATCCCATTAGGTGGATCCCAGAATGTCCACTCTGTACAATCTCAAAATGGGCAGTGATGAACCAAAGCGAGGGCTTAGTCGGCATCCTAGATTCTCTTCCTTTTCAAATGACAGAAGCTAATTCAACCAGTTCCATTTAGCAAATAATAAATTTATTAGGTGCCTACAAGTACAAAACGCTGAAAGCTGCTGTAGGGGGTTATAAAGATGTGGAGGAGAGCCCTGCCCTCAAAGAGCTTACAATCTAGGTGATGAGTCACAATTAGTAAGTTGTGGCAGTATCACTTTAGGTGACTTACACAGAGTTCTTGGAACATTCACATCCTCTGAATTCTCCTGTTGTCAAATATGTTAAGGAATCCTTTCCACAGGAAAGCTGAACAGTGGGAAAGAGACCTTTTGTGGAATTAAACGGTGACCTTGGCTTTGCTTATATGAGCATCTTACTCTTCCTGGTTCCTTATTCTTAGAACTTTCTCAGCATCCTTTCCAAACGACCTTTGTGAGGACAGCATCTCCATGCTTCCTGAACCTTCACTAGGGTTTCCTGTTTGTTAGTGAGTGGCTCAGTTGCAGTTTGGCCTTGAAATTATTTGCAGTCCTATTTTTCCTTCAGCAAATCTGATTTTCATTTTGGCTGATGCCAGGATGATATGCTTTGCAATCTGTGGTTCTAAGGGTAGGAGTGAGATGTGATACAAAGGAAAGCAGGCCAGACCTTTCCCTTACTTTAAACATTTAATAGTGCACTTATGGATTATATTCTGTACAGATATAGAGCAAGTTATAAACCTCTTCTTTTATTTTTTTTTTTTTACTTAGACTGTATTCAGGTAAAGTGTATTTACATCAGGAAAAAAAAAAGCATTGAGGTACAAAACCCAAAAGAATATCTGAGGTATAAATACAAGTATATTTTAAATAATAATTTTTGTCATGCTTTATCTAGGTTTGAAAGCACAGTGGACATGTGGACATGTTTCTTTATCTTAATAGAATGGTATATACAACATACAATCTTACAAATCTGAAAGCTATTAAAATTGCATATACAAGTATATCTTCATGAGGAACACTGATATCCAAAATACTCCAATTTTAAAACTCTAATCTTCCCCCGCTGCAAATTCTTCAAAGAACCTTTGAAATAACACTGACAATGGTAACTATAATATGTTATAACAAAATAAAACTCCTTCTTACAACTCTCATTCATACATTATTCACTTTTGATCCATACAAAATAAAGTCACTAATACTGTCTCATGAGTCAATCTTCATGGTTACGGTAAAACCTGTATAAAGACCACCCTTCCAAAAAACGGTGCTGGCATTTTTTTTGGGTTTTCTTTCTATGATAGCTATTTTCATTTACCGCTAACATACATTCCAGGGGCATCATTATAAAGGAGAAGAAAAAGAAACGTAGGGAAAACAAAGCCGAGGGAAAAAAAAAAAAAAGTCACAAAACCAGAAAACCTATTTGCTGAAAAGGACAGATCCAATTACTAAGTATGTGCAGCTTTCAGAAGCGCTATGAATAACCAGAATCCACGCCTGTTGTTAAATTTTAATACCTTGGTTTAAATTTACAGGGATTTCCTTGGGACAGACGTAGTTTCCTATGTTTTCAGTATGTCTTCAAGAGTTTGGGTTCGAAACATGAAAATGCAAAAAATTCCAGCAGGTAAAAAGTTCTGGGGCTCGACTGAGGAGATGTTAGAGCGTTCAGTCGTTACATCTCGACTTAAAAAACAAACAAAAACACACAATAAAACTGTGCTCTGGAGCTAGTAAGGGTGGGGGAGGGGGTGGGGTGGGACGGAGTTTCTTCCCTGACCTGATCGATCCTGGGTAAAAAGTCCATCACTATTTGCAATCAGATCTGAAGACTTACTGTGTTTGAGACGGGACAGCGGAATCAAGCTACTACAATTACTTTAAGGGAAGAGGAGGTTGGTAAAAAAAAAGGAATGTGCTTAATGACTTGGAAAAAAAACAAGTGGGCAAGGGTTTTGGGGTTCCCTTTCTGGATGGATCCACGGGCAGTCAGATATTCCAGGTTAAACTGAACCTGACGCATCGGTATCCTCCTGGGAGGCATCTCAGTGTGCCAGACACTGTGTTCCAACGTATACATCTGTGCCATTCGACCAGCGACAAACACACATACACACACTCCTCTGTGCAAACCTTTCTTTGCTCATCTCAGTGAGAAACATGTCAGAGAGTACCAACTATTCCAGTGGATACGCCAGTCCCTCAGCACGCCGCGAATAAAATGACATAGGTACACATACGCCAGAATCACAAGAGAATGAAGTATCTTCACTATTTTTCGTGATGTATTTATAGTTTTGCTTCTCAGAAGCAGTTTGGATAAGAATACTTTTTTTTTTTTTTTTTTTTTTTGCACAGTCTTACATATTCCAGTCAAGGTCTGTACTCTAGACCTTAAACAAACAGGAAGCAGCTTTGAAAATGTCTTAAATCACGAAAAGTCAATTCCTACACTCCAACTTGTCGTTTGCTTTGTTTCAGATTAGACTCAGAACGCATTCTTCCAAGGACTGGCAAGAATTCTAGAAACAACTATCCAGATGGCGGACGCAGTCGCTTGGCTTCAGTAATCACCTAGATTTGGGGTCTTTGGTTTCAGTGTTCTGATTATTGAAAGAGTCTCGGATCTTCACAACTTCAGCTGCACACAAATGTCCGAAAGATTTTGTGTACCACTCCGGCATGTGGCCCCTATAATGGGAAGGAAAAGCACATGGAGTCTTCAAACTGGAAAACACTGAAATAAGCTGGAGGGAATTCGGAATACATTTCCATTTCTTGATCCAGAAACCTTGTAAGTAAAGATCGTATTCCAAGATAATCTCCTGGCACATCTGTTACACCTCTGGAACCAGCAGTTTCTCAAGGAACAACATACTGAGTACAGATATTGAGTGGCATTGTTTGGGAAAAGTTTTAGCATATAGAACAAAAACAGATTGCAGTCACACAGACAGTTGAAAAGGTACTGAGATGTAAAGACTTCAAATGAGAATTTGACCACTTTGAAAAGTTTTTTAGAGGTTCATGTTTTTGTCTGTATTGCTGAATTTCACAAATTTTCTAATAGGAACACACATTCACCAATGGCACAGAGTACAGGCCGAATTAATTCCTAAAAGGGTATGTCATATATTCAAATATCTTTGGATGTAAAATGAGAATCACCTGCCTGCTACTTCAAACTCTCATTTCCTGTGGCTTTAAATTCATGTCAGAACCAGAGTATTCGTGTTGCTTTAGTACCACATTCTCTAAGGGATTGAAATCAGGAAGCCATCCCCCAAACACCAAGAAACACGAAGGTGTTACTTTACAAAAGCTGCTCTTTAGGGAACAGACAAGACACAACGACGTGTTCATTTAAGCCATTCTCTGTGTCAGACAAAAAGTCTCATCTCCTTCATGACCCTCACCGTGTCAGAAATTAGAATCAGAACGTACCTTAAGTCGGCTCTGCACATGTAGGTGAGTTTGGATTTCCCTGACCCGCAGGGTTCGATCAGATACCTGGACAGGAGCACATTGACTCTCACCCCCACCACAGGTGCCCGGTCGTGATCCACAGAGGTGAGTAAAAGGGCACATGCCCCCTTAGGTAAATTAGTCCTCCATGTTCTGCAGAAACAAAATCAGAGTAAAAAAGATGGAATTTTCTGGAAGCCAAGTTTAAAATGGGGCCCCACTCTCAGAAGCTAAGGGGCAGGGTCAGTGGCTACGCTGTGTGACCCAGTCCTGGAGACGGTATCCTTTGAACTATTGTGCGAGAGCTCTTGAATGAGTAACTCTGTGCAGCGTCACTACAGTGAGTATGTATTCACATGTCAATTCTTTGAAAGAGAACCAATTTGAAGTGTGAATGAAAGCCATTTTTACATTTCACAAATGGATTTGTACGTGGACATCCAGATCAGGGTTGCTCTATTGGAAAGCTCTGGACTAATGACGGGACATTTCGTCAAAGATTTCTGGAATTCCTCTTTCAATCATGTCTCCAGAGAATTTATGAATTACATATAATTCAGCTTTAACCACAGTGTACTTGGGACTTAAATGTTATTTCCTGGCTTATGCATTCACTTGCTGTTTCTAGTGAGAAAATCCATCCTTAAAGGGGCAAGAATCTGCTACCAATGAGCATATTCAACTGAATGTGCCTCTAATTCTGAGTTCAGCTCCAAAAGTGTTCCAACCATTTTCAGCGATGAACACACTGTTGGAATGCATACAGATACATTTCCCATATTTGCAATCGTTCCACACCTTCCGTTTTACATAATTGTACCATCTTATCATATTCAGTGACACCAGGCTCATTCTTGCCACAGTAATCATTTTGGAAACTCTCACCTCAAAACAACGTAGTCCCGGGCAGGGTGGGGCGCCATACTGTTTTGGACATACTGGTAAATTTCAGTTTGGCTGTCTAGGATTTCAATCACTTTTGAATCCAACAGGTCTACATCCCAGAGGTGCTGCTCTTTAAGTAGGCGCTTTAAGATCTCCTCAGGCATAGCAGGGATTTCGATGGTTGACCTCCAAAGCCTCAGAGGCGGTCCTTCGCTCACCTGAAAAGAGGATGCATTTTTCAGTGCTACAATTCACACACACCTACACTTTGAAGGCAAACTGCCAGCTCTATTTATGGTCATGTGTTTAGGGGCTAATTACTATCTATATGCTGGTGTTCCCAAGTATATTCAAGAGCAGGCCAGAAAGCCTGGCCTTAGACTAATTTTCCAGTCAAAATTATTAACATCTGTTCTTTTGGGGCCTATATTAGAGTCAGTGCAATAAAATCAGATGATTTATATACCCATTCTAAAGCCTCCATGGCCATCCAGACACTCCCACTGTTTATTTCTTCTCAAGGTGGTAGAGACAGGACCAAGAAATACTATCACGGGCCTGGCATGCTGAACCATACAAGATGCCTCTGTCTTCAAGGGGCTTTTAGTCCTAACAAGTTAATTTCTCCCCCAAGTACTCTCCACTCATTAAAGGGCCAAGAGAAAAGTGGCTGAGAACAGAGGACAGTGCAAGGGGATTCTGAGCAAATTATGGAAAAATCTGATCATGTCATAAAACACCTTAAAGCCCAATACCACTAGTAAAACATTCCAGGGGACTCTAGTGTGATTCTGTGGCCCCAGAAGATTTCATTAGATGGTCGGATTCCTCTGACAAGTGTATTTATTATTCCTTGCTGGACTCTTCCACTCTTACCTGGGGAACTGAATCACCTGGCTGCCCAGATCTACAAGGGAGGGAGTGGGTGACAGATTCCCACAGACAGCCGTGTTAACACGGCCACAAGGTCTCATCTCTGATGAACCTGAATCCTGACCACTGGAACCCAACTGGCTGACAGTGGGGACAAGACTTACTTTCTTATAGGACAGTTCAGCCTGCTCTGATGTGGAGTAGCTGACCCAGCCTTTAAACTTCTCCTTGACTTCTTTAAACAGGCTATCCACACAGTCCTGGAGGAAGTGCTGGTAGTCAGCCGACTCGTCGTTACGCAGGCGTCCCAGTGCTTCTAGAGTGAGGGGCTTCAGCTCCTGTTCTGTGTAGGAATTCCGACATCGACTCATTTCCTCGGGAACCTGTGGTGGGTGCAAGGGACAAAAAGGAGGTGAGTCTGCCTGTACTGTTCCTGTTGCCCAGCAGAGAAAGCGGCAGTGCAGGAGCCGCGGACTGGGTTCTCAGGGAGGTGCAGGCGCCCCCACTACTCTCTTTCCAGCAGACGGACGGTGGCCCTGCTGACCTCACGTGCTATCGTGAGTAGTGAGGATACGAACAGATCACCTTCCTGAAGGTGTCCAAAAAGCCTATTCTCACGTGAGGTATTCTTGCGCTTTGGGAAGTCACAGTAGAGGGTAAATGACTAACCCAGGGCTTGCCTCTCAGATACAGAACTTAATTCAAAAATGTGTTGCTTTTGCTTCTTAAGTAAAGGGGTATGGAGATAGGCGAATTTCATTAAACACATTAGCTCTAATGAGCTTATATGTTATAAAATAAGATCTTTTTATAAAAGAAACAAAAAAGACCTTCTCCAGCCATGTATATAATCTCCAGCTGTGTAAAGATGTGAGCAAGCATGGTGCCCACGACCTGGTCCTAACTATTTGAGTTCTCCTCAACCGGGCGCCAAACCCCCTGACGCCTCACCTGGAAGAGCTTCTTGCACTCGGCAATCATATGGGCCAGCCCCTGCGTGGCAGCGAGGTTTTCATTCAAATCCTTCTGATCTGGTTTACCCAAGCTTTGTTTCCTTTGCATCACCCTAGGCAGAAGAAAGAAGGGAGGGGGAAGACTCAAATATTTATATGTTTTTAATTAATGTGTTATTCCAGGAAACCCAGAGGAGAGAAAAAAAAAACTATTTTACTGGAGCCTATCTGTTCTTAAGAGGTTCGGGAGAGCTTCACTTTGGTCACAAAAATTCCTCAGTTTTATCAGCCGAGCACACACACACACACACACACACACACACACACACACAAAACCCAAAAAACCAAACAAAACAAAACAAAAACATGAAAGGGGCGGTTTTCAGTGAGATCCAGGCTATTTAAAACCATCACGTTAAACAGGTTCCCGTTTAAATAGGACAGCCCAGAAGGTCTCTAGGTGGTGGTGGGGAGAAGAAAGGCAGCTTGCAGGGGTGCATAGATGGGAGGCACTGGATGTTGCAGTAAATGGTGTCACCATTCTTTATGGTTTAAATAAATAAAATCCCCTTCTGAAGGTAAGGGGACAATCTATTGTTTCCTAGAGATTTTGTCTTAATCTTATCTGATCTCTCTCTCCTGCTCATCTCCAGTTCCCTATCCTATTGAAGATGGAATGCGTCAGTCCACGTGAGAACCAGATAAAAAGATACTGTACTATATGGCTTTCAGAAGCAAAGCTCACTTCAACTAGTAGAACCAGGCTGTACCTGTAGCTAAGGAATATGTGTCAAGCACCTTTAGAGCTGAGGAGAAGGGTCAGCTGGATGGGTTTCACATTTGGGATTGTGTCCAGTCGGGGACTCCTTTCTCACCTACTCTGCTGTGAGGCCCGTACGTGAAATACTCACACCAGTAAGAAGCTTCAACTGGCTCTGCCATTTCCCCTTCAGATGTGGGCAAGTTACCTATTAAACTATTAAACTGACCCTCCCTGAAGTCTCACTGTCCTCATGTTAAAATAGGCCCTGCCAGTATCTTCACCTCTTAGGATCCTTACAAGGATTAAATGAAAGAATGAATGTCAAGGGTGTAGTCCTGTGGTTGGGTCAGAGTAAGTGCTGAGCAAATATCAGCCTTTGTTAGTGATTTTCCAGATTCTCTGACTTCTTCTATGGCCACTCCCAGCTTGTATACATCTAACGAGAAACTCTGCACACAATTGGCCTAGGCCAGGTCTAGCTTTGAGGCTCAATGCTATCCTTAGTTCTGACAGATCCAGCTGACTACCTTACAACTTGCAGCACAGGCTGGGGGCTTGGCTTTGTTGACTCTGCAGAAGTCAAGGCAGCAAGGGCCTTATCCCCATCCAGTTTTTTAGGTCAGCAAATCCTCATGATCCTTTGCTGGCAGAAAGTTTGATGGCAACGTCACAGAGGGCACTGGGGGGGGGGGGGTTCAGGGAAAACACTTGCCATAACGAAGCACACATCCAAATTGCTCTCAAAGCCTGGTTGTCACTAGCCTGTCTGGAAAGTTACGCCCCCAGGGCTGAGAAGAAAGGAGGGAAGTAAGGGGACCGTGAAGGATGGAGGCCAAACTCCTTTGTGCTTGACTCGAGTGTGAAACCAATGAAAACCCAGGGACAACTGAGAAGGAAAGGTAGGTTGCGTTTGTTGGAAGAACAGAGCATGTGCGTGCATATCTCGTCTGACCCGTACCTTGGAGAAGAATTCTCTCTCTTCAGGGTGTTGAGGTGGAAAAGGGAGGGCGCTAGGCACACAGCCAGGTTGGTGGGGGTCATCTGGTTTTCTTTGACGGCGGCCGTGACATCGCTCAAGAAATAAAGGAGCGTCTGTAGAACCTCCCGGTTCTCATCAGGCAGGAGCATAATGGCGGCCTTGATCGCCTGGAGGCGCTGGTCCTTGGGCACACCTGTATAACACAGGCATTTCCCCCATCAGCTCGGTGCTTTTCCACGCGCATTGCAAGGAAACGTCCCAAAGCAAACACCAGCACCAATGACCTCGGCCCAGTCCTGAACAAGCGCTTGCAGAAAGTGTACTTGAGGTTAATATGGAAGAAATTAGGGACGGCCACCAGCGTCACTGCCCTCAAGTATTTCCTGCCTGTGGAGGAGTTAAAAAATTTTCAACACCCACAATGCCAATATCCTAAGTCCACCTCAGAGTTCAGCTCCAGATATGATGCCTGTTCTTTTGGTTTTTGGAATAGCTTTTCTTTTCTAAGTATTTTTTTTTTGGAACTCCCCAGTTTACCATTCTCGATTACTGAAAACACAACACACAGTTATACTTTTGTGTAGTTTCAGTGAAAAACCTTATTGAAGACATGTACAAGGGGATAAATTCTTTCTTGGCCTTTATACAAAGGGTCCAGTATCTTTGGGGACCTTCCATAACTAGAACTGATCGGCTCATTCGTAAAATGGAGAAAGCAAGCTGCTAAAAGAGTCAGTTGAAACAGATTATTTTTACTAGTAATGTTTTTAAGTTTTAGAAAGCATACTGAGAGGCTATTACAAAAATATATGCCTGAGAAATAAAACCAGGAAAATGACATACATGTAGGAAATGTGGGGCTCAACCTTCAGGTCTCCTTTACTCGGCAAATCTGCCTTTTAAGAGGCATGTGGTGGAAAAATCAAGTCAGTCAAGTGCAGCTCCGTAGGACAAACCGATTAACGGCTCCATGGTTACAACACATAACAAATACCTTGGTGGGGAAAATGTGACCTGTGTTTTCAGAAAATCTGAAAGGATGAAACAAATAATGAAATAATCCAGACCAGCTCCATTTCTCATAAGATGAGGTCCAGCGCGCCAGGCTGGAGACAATTTGAGCACGGAGAGAAGCTGCTTCTATATTACATGGCTGTAACACCACACGGAGCCAAGAAAAACACGGGGCCATAAAAGCCATAATCCTGATCTTGACCATTAATTTAGACAACTGTTTGCTTTAAGCTTTACTTAAAAGTGAGAAGGGCATGGGTATTGTTTTCCCAAGTATTTCTGGCAGAAGTGGAGATGAATAACAGAAAAAGATTATTTATTCACTTTCCAGCAAGATAAACCACACAGACACCTGTGACGTTTTAAACACAGCAGGCCCTGCTGGAGAGATGAGAGTCAACTGAAATATCTTGGTACCTGCTCTTTTAAGCATCTAAGGGAAGACTGTTCTAGAAACGAATGAAGGAATGAGCTCCCGGATCACAATGTAAAAATGTGTAATTGCTTCAGTAATTAGAGAATGACGATAAGGGAAATTTATTTCTGCATTATTCAACAGGTACACAGAAACCTATTCCACAAACAAGGAGAAAAGGAAGAAAGAAGTTGATGACATGTGTTTCCAGGAAGGTCATCATGTGGCTCTAAAAGAATGGCATCAAAGGAAGCCAAGGTTTCAGGTGGTCCCACTTTTCCCCAAGGCCAACGGCGTTAAGATCAAAGAACACTTACACTGGTAGATCTGTAGAAAGGTTTCCGAGAGTTTGTTCGTCATTAGTGGCTCAGGAAGGTCTCGAAAATACTGCTTCAACATGTCTGCTACATCATAAGCAGACTGTCCCTCATAGCTGACACAATCTATGGCACTTTCATTCATCTGGCGCAGAGCCTGAATCCGGGACTTGACACCCGACTTTCTGAAGAGCCCAACCTGTTGGAAGAAAAACATTAAATGGCAAGACAGAAGCAGCATTTTCACTACAAAACTATAAAAAAGAAGCATGCATCTGAGGTCCCATGATTCAGCGGGGCCTGCACGAGGCAGTTCTCACCTGATCCAAACAGTGGTTGCGGAGGTAGCGCATGGCCTGCTGAATGCTCTGGGGCAGGGGCTGTCCTGTGCGCTGCACATTGACCGTCAGAGGGACCCCGAACACATTCCGGTCCTTATAGTCTGGAACCTTGATCCTTTTCATGAACTTGGGCACAGCCCTATTTAAAGAGCAGGTGGGGGGGGGTTATGTTTATTTGTCTGTAGACCCTTAATCCATCTTTTGCAGGTAAACCCTGTGAGCTTTGTATCCGTGCTACTAAGGTGGCTATTTAAATTAAATAAAATGACAAATTTAGTTCCTCAGTTGTATTAGCCGCAGTTCAAGTGCTCACTAGCCATCTGTAACCGGTAGCTGCCGTCTGAGCAAATACAGCACATTTCCACCATCACAGACAGTTTCACGGGACAGTGCTATTCTGGATCTTCTAAGAGTTGGGGCTCTGAGGCCCAGTAACATTTTCTCCACTGGGGATTCTTCTCCCACTATTAACTCTGAGAACTGGGTTTATATCCTTAAGGGAGCTGATGGGCTTCCTTACAAAATGGCGGCACAGGAAGGCACACGAACAGAAAAGAACATTCAAGGCCCTAATTTAGGAGCTTCATGACAGAATTTGAAAAACACGTTCCCATTTGTCCTGTAAATGGGCAAGAATCATTTCTAAGTTCTTGATGAGATACAAAGTATTTAGGGTATAAAAAGGATCATGTAATGCCGGAGGAGAAAATAGCAAATATGTGATGTTGGTCCAACATAATGAGAACCAATTCCAGAGCTCAACAGTGGGGGCCAAGCTAATGACCCGAAGTCAAAATAAATTCTCCTGCAGATGACCCTGGAGAATATAACATCTTTAGGTTTCTAAAGGAAGATGGAAAAGAACAATGAAGGTTTTGTGAGCCTACCCCAGGCTCCCTGGAGTCCTGAAACCAGGTCCAGCCCCAGAAGTACATGGAGCAACAGGAAACCGATGTCATGCATTTAATGCTGTCAAGCAGAAATTTCAGCTCTACAAGTGACCTCTCTAAACGGGACAAGAAAGGGCAAGGCCGAACAGGAAAAGAACCTTGTGTAGAATTTCTCCCTATTCCATGGATCCCACAATGCGAGGCTTTTACATTTGGTTTTGACTCACTGGAAAAACTGACCAGAACTCAAGAAGTATTACGGACTTTCAGATTCTTGAGGGTTTGGTGGGAAGGGGGGGTGGGCAACTCAGAACCGAGAATGTAAAATATGCACTTTTAAATAGCCAGCAGGGAAAATATGACTCTACGCACAGAGGAACACTGCAGAAGACAGACTGCTTTGACTTCTGAGCGCTCGCCAACAGCCACGGCACGTTACTGTTTATAGCCCCACGAAAGGTAAAACTAAAGCGTAGAGCCAAATTTGTATTTCCATACAGTAAGTTTATGGTATCATGGCCATAAGTGTGCATAATACTTGCTTTGTCGGGGGAAAAAAGCCAGCGGCGGAATGTGCAAAGAACACATTACGATCTCCACTGAGAATCTGAAGCATGCGGGGATAAACCGGTCAATACTTATTTCTGTCATTCAGAACAAACAACTTCTGTATTTAGCAAGGCTCACATAATAACAGCCTTTGAACGGGAGGTGCTTTGATGCTGAAGCTAAACTCACTACAAGTCCTGAGGAGACGGGGGGCTGGAGAGAGAAACAACAGTTCTGCTGCTTTGCTGACGTACCTCGGCCCCTCTGGTTTGCTCCAGAGCGCTACTGAGGACATGGGCTGCTTCTCTGTTTTTATACAAAGCAGTGAATCCAGATGATAAACACTCAGATTAGGGAAAAGGCTTAAGGATACCCAGCTGACACTGTGAAATGCACTTGGATGTCAATCTAGAGATAGTTCTCTGCTTTGCACTGCTAGCAGAAAAATTAAGATACACACACAGTGGGTCACATCCGTGGCCCATCCAGCCTAACGATGTCCATCTCACGTGATACACACGGAGGGCCGCAGTTTTAAAAGTAATCATGAACAGTTCATCTGAGGGATTTTACCTTCGTGTGTATTTAGTCTGTAGTATCTTAGAGCAGTGAATTCCTTATGTTTATTATTCACTGTTGAAGTGTCTTTGTTAGAAAGAAACATAACCTAAATTTTTTAGCACAGGGAGATTTTTGAGTGATGCTTCAAATATTTCCATCAAAAATGATTTCTAAAAACATACCTGGAGAAGGTAAGGAGGCCCGAACTGTACAGTAAGCATTTCACAGTTGGTCTCAACATCCTATGACCTGAACGTTTTTCTTTCCTTCCTTCCATAACATGATCTGATCAGTACATCTATTTACCCACGGGGGGCTCTTTCTAACACAGGAAGGAGGGGCCTGTACAGTGTGATGGAACAGCCACGCATTCTCACTCCATCAACTGGCCATTTGTCACTCCAGGCACTGAATCTCCCTCCACCAATCCCGCTGCTTAGTCCCCAAAGTTACACTGGCTTGAGCAGTATCAGATGTGGCCTCAAGAATGCAGGGATTACATGTGGATGATAGTCGAAAGGCATTCATAGAGGATGGATACCTTCAGCTTCAGGGAGCTGCCCCAAAACATTTCCAATTAGTTGACCGAGCACAGTAAACTCTTACCAGCTAAAACCATGCTTATTCGAAGGCGTGTACTTCTCTAGCAGGGCGGTTAACTTTAGGAGCGAGTACTTCTGCAGCAGGTTCATCTGGGCCACAGACTGGCAGTTAATCTGCAGCGATACAGAGTTTAAGCTTGGCCGATGGGAGCTCTGGAAACTGTGCCATCGCAGTCTGTGCCTACGGGAGAGGAGCAAGGGGAGGGGTGAGTATAAGAGAGAGAAGCAGGGGAGGGGTGAGCACGAGGGAGAGGAGCAAGGGGAGGGGCGAGTACAACGGCTTTTTAACAGGTACACACAAAATCAGCGGTGGGCTGCCTGCTGGCCTCTTAGGAACCGAGAGAACTGACTTCTACTCCATTCTTTTCTTCCCCTCCCCACCCACGATAAAATACACATTACATAAACGGCCATCTTAACCACTAAGTGACAGCTCAGGGGCATAAAATCTCTTCACGCCCTTGTACAACCATCGCCACCATGCATCCACAAGACTTCCTTCCTCTTCTCAAGCTGAAACTCCGCACCTATGAAACAACATCCACCCTTTTTGGATGTTAGGGCCTCCTGATCTCTTTCCTTAGGAGCTCACAGGGCCAGGAATGCCCTAACCCCATGTCCCCCACATGAGAGCGGCAGCAATCCCTTTCCTACCTCCCCCACCTCCAGAGGGCAGCCAAGCTCTCACCTATTGGACCTTGTCAGAGAGGCCCCAACCCCAGAATCCCTCCTTTCCGGGATGTCAGAGGGCTCTTCCGGCTCGTTCAGTGAGTTGCCGGTACTGTCCAGGTCACTGGGTGTGGCTCGGTCGTTGTCCACATCCAGGTGTATCTGTTTGGGAGACGACGGGCACGGAGAGACCGAGTCCAGGGCTGAGTCGGAGTCTCCCTCGTCTGAAAACTTCTCCGACCACTGGTTGACTATCCTCTGCATCCCCTTCACGTGGTAGAGGATGTCATCCAGCTCGGGGAAGATGTCCTCATTCTCCAGGTCGGCCAGGTCACCCGAACTGGAGTACAGGATGGAGCCAGGCACGTTGTCATAGATACTCAGGCGGCTGCTCATGGAGCTGGACGAATTGCGTCGCTTAAGCTCCTTGGGGCCGTCGCTGCCGTTGTCCCTCCGCAGGCTGATGTGGCCCGGGCCGTGGAAGCTTCCAGTCCTCCAGTTGACGGAGCTGTTCTTCCCTGATGGAGAGAAACTGCCATTGGAGAGCGCCTTGGGGAAGGTGCCGGGCTTGTGATCTTCCGGGATGTAGAACACTGCGTCCTCTGGATAGGTCTCGCGGTTCTTGAAGTTCTGTTCCATAACGTTGTTGAACGTGGACTGATTGAATGGATCGAAGCCCTCCAGGTACATGCCCACCCGCTTGTTGCAGGCGCTGAGGCTCCGGGTCCTGGTGACCGGGCTGGGCGTGCTCACGGCGCTGCTGGTCTCCGACTGGCTGCTGCTGCTGCTGGTCTGCGTGGAGTTGGAAACGCTCCGCTTGCGAACCGCGGGCACGTTGATGTGGTTGCCGTTGAGCGCGGAGATCTCCACGCAGTTCAGCTGCTTCAGCTTCTCCTCGTCCATCCCCTCCTGCAGGATGGGCCCGCTGATGATCAGCCCCAGCTTGGAAGGCGCCTTGTGCTTGCCGTGGTGCGAGCCCTTGAGCTTCAGGCTCTCCATGCGTTTCAGCAGGCTGCGCGTCTTGGACTTGGCGTTCTTCTCGTGGCCTTTCATGCTGAAGCTGAAGCTGGACAGTTCCTTGGGGGAGGGCAGGCTGCAGAAAGAGTCGTCATTGCCCACGAAGTTGCCGGAGGAGCACACGCTGATGACGGAGTTCGTGCGGGGCGTCGCCGCGTCCCCGGTGTGAGGCGCGTGCACCGGGAGGCTGCCGGTGCTGCTGAGGCTGCGGACCGAGGCCACCTCCTGGCGCTCGCTGAGGTCCGTCAGCATGCTTTCATGGCTCGCCGCGTTCTTCAGGTGGGCATCGTCGGGGGCCCCGGGGGCTGCGTCCTGCTTTGAAGAAAAGACATCAAACTCTTCCAGCCGGGACCACCTCTTGCTGTCCCTCTGGAAAGTCCATTTGCCGCTTATTGCACAGGGCTCGTCCTCGTCCGAATCCTCACTCTGAAAAGACAGAATGGAGGCATTCATCGCTGGGACCGGCAGACAGCAGGGAGCGGGGACGTGTGCTGGGGGCCGGACGCCTAGGACCCGGCTCATGATAGGCCATCAGTGTCAATTCCCTCTTTGTATCTTTATTTTATTACTTATTATTATGATTATGACTTTATTATTCTTTTTTTAAATGACAAAGATGTATGTTGGATGTCAGGACTTTGACAGGAAGAAGCCTGACCAAGTGTTTCAAGCTAAATAAGAATTATTTTGTAGAAACTGTTGGATCTGTAGGCTGTTCTTTAAGTGCTCACAGAGGAAAACTCTAAGATCTGTGAAAATTCCAGGCATGCAAAATATTTTGAGCTGGAGTCAGCAACGGGTAGGACTCCCTCTGGTCTGCCTCCAATTTTGCTGTCTGTTGATAGCATGTGTTTATATTCTCTTTCACAATTAAAAAGGTAGTTTTCAAACACTAAGAAGAATGGACACTGAAGTCTGTGGCCACCCTAAAAGCATACAAGATCTCCTACCAGACCGGTGGAGACACCAAGCAAGGTAAGTCACCACATCTCTTAAGGCGGATACTTTTCAGCTTCTTACCTGTTCTTTTTCATCCCTTCCCCCACCAGACACAGGGTCTAGAGCTAATGCCACACATGTCCTGTGAAGTTTCAACCTCAGACATGCTCCAGGCAATTTAACAAGGCCTCACAAATACCCAGTCCTGACAGCATGGAACACTCACAAACACGATGTTACATCTTTGCTGATTATGCTTGATTTATGGGCAGGACTCAGGGTTATGCTGTGTCACAAACTACCGCATCTGAGCCTTTTAGGCGGGATATCAAAAGGCCCAGCTCAGTGTGATGCATGTCTTTCCCACTGTTGTGGAAAGTATCACATGACCCACGTTTCACAGGACAATGAGTAGAGAGCATGAAACGCTGACTTGTGGACTCCTCTCCACAGCCCAGTGGGTGCTGAGGTTCCAGTTCATTTGTTTAAAAGGTTTAACTCCCCCGAGAAGGCGGCTTGTTGCAAGACAGGGACCGTAGGATAATTAAAATCTGTACTCTGAACAGTCAGAAATATGTTCTTTGACCAAACTTATTCCTGTTTACTCTAATTTGTGACACTCACTCCCAGGACTACACCCACTTCTTCTCCTACGATCTCATAAAAGGTTCTCACATTTCATCCACAGAAGTTATGTGCCACCATTCCACTAGAATGTGTGGGGTTTCCTGCCCTTCCCTCCAACTCCCCCACCTCTTTTCCTCCCTCCTATCTCTCATTATTCTTCAGCACCCCACAGGCTACCTCCATCCCTGCAGCTCTGAAACACTGTTACTGTTATATGGGAAGAGACAGAGTTCCCAAAGAACTTTAGCTTTAATTTCTGAAGGGAATAATGGAGGGTTCACTGGGGTTCCCTAAGTCTTATTCCTTTAATCTGGAGTAGGCAATGAGTTAAAAAGGCAAAATAATAGATGATTTGTTCCGATAAAGAACAATCAAAAAAAAAAAAAAAACCCTCATAGATACAGAGAACAGACTGGTGGTTGTCAGAGGCAGGGGTCAAAAGGTACAAATATCCAGTTATAAAATAAATAAGGTTCGGGGATGTGACGTACAGCATGGTGACTATAGTTAATAATACCGTATGGTATATTTGAAAACTGCTGAGAAAGTAGATCTTTTCATCACAAGAAAAAAAAATGTAAGTATGTGTGGTGATGGATGTTTACGAGGCTTCTTCCCATGATCACTTTGTAATATATGCAAATATTGAGCCACTGTGTCATACACCTGAAACTAGTATTATGTCATATGCCAGTTTTATCTCAATTAAAAAAAAAAAAAAAACAAACAGTAGGAAAACCGCAATTCATTGCCTAGCCGCAACTATTGGTTTCAGTTACATAAGGCTACTTGGTCTTTGGTAAACCTGAAGGGATTATTATGTTAAAAATGCAGATGTTTGGGGCGCCTGGGTGGCTCAGTCGGTTAAGCATCCGACTTCGGCTCAGGTCATGATCTCGTAGTCTGTGAGTTCGAGCCCCGTGTCGGGCTCTGTGCTGACGGCTCAGAGCCTGGAGCCTGCTTAGGATTCTGTGTCTCCCTCTCTCTCTGACCCTCCCCCATTCATGCTCTGTCTCTCTGTCTCAAAAATAAATAAACGTTAAAAAAAATTTTTTTAAAAATGCAGATGTTTTTGGAATAAGGAAGTAATAAGAGTTTGAGAGATAAAACCTCTTACAAAACACAGTTTTTGGTCTTCCCCCTTTCCTCCCATCCTATTATATATCGTATATACTCACTCTCTTCCGATGAGGACTAATTTCCAGCTTCATCACCGCACATTTGTTTAAAGTATTTAGACGCCTACAGAGCAAAGAAATAATATTAGTAAAGACAGGAAACCAATGATGGGTAGATAAATATTTTTTCCAAACAGCTGACATGCTTAATGAGCTTCTTTATTCTATAAAAAATTATAATTTAGAAGAGTATTAGGAACTTCTTTAAGAAGTGAACAGTTTAAAAATACCTTTACACCTTTCTTCATTTTTTTTTTTTAAACTTTTTTTAATGTTTATTTGTTTTTTAAGAGAGAGAGACAGAGTGCAAGCTGGGGCGGGACAAAGAGAAAGGGAGACGCAGAATCTGAAGCAGGCTCCAGGCTCTGACCTGTCAGCACAGAACCCGATGTGGGGTTCGAACCCACGAGCTGTGAGATCATGTCCTGAGCTGAAGTCGGACACTTAACCAACTGAGCCACCCAGGCGCCCCTACCTTTCTTCATTTAAATTGATTATTGCTATTTTACAGTAAAGTGACACATTGCTATGGCACTATCTGGTATTTCTTATTCTTCATGGAACAAACAACTCTCAATGAGGGATTTTATTCTTCCTAGAGCACCTAGGTTGGGCCATTAGGTAGCTCCACACAGTGCCAAGAAATAAGAGCCACTGAAGTCTCCTTAGAAATGGGAACAGCAGCAAGGAACCAAGCAGAGTTCTTGGTAAAATAAATGGTATATTCTATCTCAAATAAAAATCCAAAGACGGAAATAAACCAATTTTTAGTTATCTGCAATAAATAATAATCTTAGACACTCTGTTCAAAAATGTAATGAGTTCTTGGACAGAAAGGAAATTGGTGCCTCTCTAAGACCCAATTCTTTTTACAACGTCCGGTATAGGACAGGATAATGTTGGGTACAGTCGTGGCAATAGTGCAATTACTGAAAAAATTTTTATACAGCAGCCTCAAGGGTCAAAGTCTTTAGAGTTCAAGCAAGAATAAGAACTTGATCAGATTCTTGTTTGGAACAAGGGTCATATTTTCACTTTGGGTACTTTTTTTTTTTTTTTTTACCACTGTCAAGGAGTAACATGTCAATTTATAATTAGGGAAATAATTCAGGTTTCCTGAAAACCAAATACTAAAACAAAACAAAACAACCAAACAACCCCTCCCCCCCACAAAGTCCCCCAAAACAAAGTTCCTCATTGGGAAATAATGAAATAGCTGAGAAAAGAAACCCTTTACATATGCAGGAATACGTGGTATGTGAAAGTGTGAATGACAGCCCTCTCTGACAGCTTCCAGATGACCATCACTTGGTCTTCCTCAAATAAGCCTTTAACGAATCTGTCTTCCACGGTCAGCTACCTGTTTTTTCCTACAATTGCAATTCTTCTGTTTTCATAGGAAAAGAGCATTTAATTCACACAAATTCAAACTGACCATAAGACTGCTTCAAGGCTTTATCTCCCCGATTCTGTTCTTGCAACTTGTCTAACAACTTGATGCAGGAGGATAGAAAGTATTTTTGCCTGCTGATAAGACCGCCTTTGATTTCATAGATTATGTGGTAGCCTGTTTATAGAATAAACAAAGATAATTCAGGACGCCTATGTTGCCTATGTTCAGAAAAATTCTCTGTCGATGGGGAGGGAAAGAAAACAAATAACTAAGAAAAAGCCCAAACTTTAAAATGAGTAGCTATAAGGTCCCTCCCCAAGGGGCCAGCCTTACTTACGTGACTGATGCCCACAGTGTGTTTTAGTTCTTAAATGTTTTCAAGATTTAAAGAATCCGGAATGGTTACACTTAGTCTTAGGTCTGGGTTTCATTAATCAAACCTGTAATCAAATACCCACTTGAGTTCATTTGGGCTTTAATGGTTGAGTGGTGTTTATAACCAGGTTTACTAGGCATGGAAGCCTGTGGCAGGGGGGAGGGGCCTAGTTCACAAACTCTAGATTTGAGTCCAACAAAAAAGACCCAGGAGGCAACTTTTATAAAGGTCAACATTATCTTTTTTATGTTGGTAGCACCAAGCTAATGGCATTTCAATTTTGAAGCCTGGAAGTTATTCCTTGAGGTTTCTGTAAAATTCATCTGTTCCCAGGACCTCCAAAGAATGCCCACTGGTGAGACCGTAGCTACTCAGACAATACTGACATGAAAAGGTTGTAGCGAGATGAATTGGGGCTCGTTCTGGGTCAGGCTCCATGCCTGGCACCTCATATGTGTTATTTCATTTTGGTCTCCACAACAACTTTATGGTGTGTGTGTGTGTATATATATATATATATATATATATTACTATACAACTTTATGGTGTGTATATATATATAATACATATATATTACATATATATATATATATATATATATATTACTATTTTCCTTCCTTTTACAGTTAAGGAAAGGGGGTTCAGAGAGGTCACGAATCTTGTTCAAGGCCACAAGAATAAAACATGGTGGCTCTAACGTTCAAAAAACAGTATCTCCTGCATTCTTTTCTAAAATTAGTCTTAATGATACTAATATCCAGGAGCAGCTTATGCCCTAAGCATGATTCCTCAAATGAATGGCAGCACATTGGTATCACACACCATCTGTCCAGAAGGCGTGGTGGCTGCAGCCCCCCAGGGCCCTCACAGGGCCCAGCTCCACAGGAACGTGTCGGTCTTATCTGCTGGGCAACTTGTTCCCTGCTCTGAAGGGGGAGGGGGGACAAGATGGGCCATCAAAGCTTCACGAGTTTTGCTGCAGGGAGCCAGCCGCAAGCACCCTGATAAAAGCGTAGCAGGCGGGCATTGGGGCCTCGTGTTCAAAACGAAAACAGGGAAGAGTACAAGAGAAGATACATGTGAGGAAAGAAAAAGGAACAGTTTTCCAAATAAGACGTGACAAATAAAAACTGTTGTGATTCTTAAAGACACTTTCTGGGAATCAGTGCAATTGCTTTAAAAATTTACGTGCTTCCCTTTTAATAGAACAGAAACAGTAACAGAGTTGAAATCTGTTATGCGGCAGGCTGCTTTACACAGTGCAGGCATTTCCAGGGCTGTTTTACAACAAAGTGCACACTGAAGATGATGGTGTGGGTATGTACTTATCATTACACGATTATCACCTTATTTACATAATTCTTTGCTGTGTTTACAGGAGGAGTCAGTCGTTAACTCCAAAGGAAAACAGTGATATGGGATATTTTTCAGATGCTAGGGAGACAAAACTCCTGTCAGAAGAGGTATGCTAATGGTAGGTCACAGTTTGCATTATTATCTATATATGCTTCAAGGCAAGCAAACCACTCCCCCAGTATTAATATTGAATGTGACTCTCCCACGATCTTGGCCTTATCATTGAGACTGGATTATACAGCAAAACTAGCAGGACTAGGGCAAAAGCCAATCTCTCCAAGGAAACAAATACAAAAATCCCTTGCAAATATAAGTGCAAGAATGTTGGTCAGCAACCCAAATCCAAAAAACATGGTAGTTCCTGAATTGTAACTTTTGGTCACTACCAGACTTATTAAGAGAGTATTATCATGATTTTCAGGAAAACATTAAACGTACAAGTCTTCTACTCTTAAGTAGACTCTGCTAAGAGATCAGCAATGTTATAGGTATAAGAATGTTTATAATAAATCTTAAAGCAGAACACCAGTGTGTACCTGGGAGCAGTTGTAACATCCGTGTGTGTGTGTGTGTGTGTGTGTGTGTGTGTGTGTGTATTGTGTGTGTGTTTGGGGTGGTGGTAGGAATGAGAAACCATGTAAGGATTATTTTATTTAAAACAAACTTTAAAAGGTTTTATTTAAGGGGTGCTGGGTGGCTCAGTCAGTTGCGCATGTGACTCTTGATTTCGGCTCAGGTCATGATCTTGAGGTTCATGAGATCGAGCCCCACATCGTGGGGCTCTGCCCTGTCAGCAGGGGCATTCTCTCTCTCCTCTCTCTGCCCCTCCTCCTCTTGCATGCGTGCTCTCTCTTTCTCTCAAAGTAAACATTAAAAAAATTTTTTTTTTCAACGGTTTTTTTTTATTTATTTTTGGGACAGAGAGAGACAGAGCATGAACGGGGGAGGGGCAGAGAGGGAGGGAGACACAGAATCGGAAACAGGCTCCAGGCTCTGAGCCATCAGCCCAGAGCCTGACGCGGGGCTCGAACTCACGGACCGCGAGATCGTGACCTGGCTGAAGTCGGACGCTTAACCGACTGCGCCACCCAGGCGCCCCAAAGTAAACATTTTTAAAAAGGTTTTATTTAAGATAAAAATGTTAGAATATTTAATATTTTATGAAGTAAAACTTTTCAACTGAGTTTCTGTAACCATATTACCATATATATATTTATATATGTATAAATAAAACATTAAATATATATTTTATTTTTATTTTTGAAAGAGAGAAAGAGAGAGAGAGAGCACGAGCAGGGGAGGGAGAGAGAGGGAGACACAGAATCCGAAGCAGGCTCCAGGCTCTGAGCTGTCAGCAGAGCCTGATGCAAGGCTCGAACTCAGGAACAGTGAGATCATGACCTAAGCCAAAGTCGGACACTCAGCTGACTAACCCACGCAGACGCCCCTACCATACGTATTTAAAATCAACTTCTCAAAAATATTTCAACAAGGCAAAAGATGGAAGTCTACAATAAGAAGTCTGTCAGTCTGGAGAGAACTTGGCAAATCACAAGGCAAACTTCCAAACTATGCAACAGCTTCGTGATTCACTGGCCCTTGAATACCATGGGCTGAGAAACTATGTGGAAGAGGCTAGTCTCGTTAATGAGACAAATGTCACATAATTAGAAAAACAGGTACCCCCAACTACTTTGCTGACAACTCACAACCTGTCGTGCACTTCAAAAGAAGATGCCCCATCGTTTTCTTCAGAACACTTGTTTAGGCCTCCTGAAAGAGAATCATTTGCCTTGAGAAGCCTATGTGAACATGTGGACAAGAGCCCTTGGGTTTTCCATTAAAACAAGGTGATGACTGTTATGTGAATTCTGAAGCATTTGTTTTGAAAGAAAACTCAACCTCAAGACTTCTTCCACATACTCAAATGTGGGCCTCTGATTTGGGCCTAGGATTTTTTAAAGCACGTTCACACTCATTACCTCACTGCCTCCTCACACTTAACCTTTGAGACAATATTCTCTGCATCTAAGAAAATGGAAACCAATCAGAATACACTGCAGAGTCCAAATACAGATCAAGGTCTAGCTGGTCCAGCTGTTTCGAGGCTTTTTTCACAAAAGATTTGGCAACACAGATTTATTCCCTTCAAAGGGTGGTGGCTTCTCTAACAGAACAGAGAGAGCCAGTGGAAATCACAAAGTGCAGAGGACGACCTTCCCCTCAGAGCTGGGCAATTACATTTCAAACTGATATTAAAAAAAAAAAAGTATTCAAGAATATAATCATGACCCCTTTGGGCTGCAATGTTGCAGTGAAATTTTTATGACCCAGAAATTCCTAAGCTGTTGCTGCTGCTTAGAGAGCCCACTTACTAAGTGGCGTAAAATGTGTGAAATGGGTAATCTGACTCAGTGTGTAAATATTTCCTAGGATTCATCTTAGGAGTGACCTCATTTATATGCGTTATCACCAATGATGAATTGAAAAATAAATTAATTCTACCCCATAGCTAAGCATTAAAACATTTTAAAAATGTCTGGAGTAGTTTATATTCCAGATGTTGACTTCTTCCCTCCCAGACTGCATTAGTGACATTTTTTCATTGCCAATGACATAGCTATGGTATTACATACTACAGTGCAGGACTTGGGATTCGGCCGCTTTCAGAAAATGTGTGCATACCCTGGACATTTCTAAGCAGCCGTTTAATTGGATTTGAAAAGCGACAGTGTTTCTGTGGTTAATATACCATTTCTCTTTCTTAAACCACGAGTACTAGTCTATTTCATACACCATTCTAAACATCCTGCCCATCTTTCCTTAAAACCACTGTTTGAGTTAGGGGTTTCAGAAAACACTGCATTACAGGGGCGCCTGGGTGGTTCAGTCGGTTGAGTGTCCACCTCTTGACTTCAGCTCAGGTCATGATCTCATGGTTTGTGAGATCGAGCCTCTTGTCTGCCTCTGCACTGACAGTGTGGAGCCTGCTTTGGGATTCTCTCTTTCTGCCCCTCTCCTGCTCTCTCTCTCTCTCTCTCTCTCTCTCTCTCTCAAAATAAATAAATAAATAAACTTAAAAAAAAAAAAAAGGAAAGACCACATTACATAAGAAAGGCAAAACACAGTACTTTCACTGAGGTACTGCTTTCTTTGCCTGCAAAGGGGAAATTAAATACTGAGTGTCATTCTACCTTAAAGATGGTTTTACAAGTTAAAATAAATACTGAGTAATAGAAAAGTTATTTCAATTTTAAACGTAAAATGAATACGTGAATTTTTTCTATGTATAATTTCCCCCCAGAATGCAGCTTTTATAGCTTGTAGGTTTTGAAGAAAATTGCGAAGGCTGAATTAACTTAAAAATGAATAGAAAATCAGGAGTTTGAAAGGATTATCAGTGCCCCATCATTGTCTGTTACATGTTTTATTACTTCCACTTTTCTAAAACCTACCAGCTGCCCGTCAGCCTAAAGATCTACCAGCACAACGAGCAAGGATTTCTGACAGGTTTATTCTCATGTCACATCAGTGCTCATTTACTGCCTGTCCACTGTAGGTTAAAGGCTGTGCCAAGTTATTTTACAACCTTATTTAATCCTATTGTTACTATTTGGTACCTGGGGAAGCTGAAGACAGTTCAGAGAAGCTTCTCTGGAATTCAAACAATGGTTCTCTTAACTCTAGCAATGCTGTAACCCACCCCCTCCTTTATTCCTCTGAATGTGTTATTTCCATTCAGTTTAACTACAGCTTTGATTCTGTTAGAGTATCTGGCTGGGGCCTTACAGTCAATTACATTGGCTTTTAAAAAACACTGTTCCAAGTTTCCAAACCATCTGAATGTTATATGTTTCAGCAATCATATGGTATTGAATACAGAATGGTCTCTTTGAGTACCTCCTAGGATAGTATCATTTCATGGCAATATTAAACAGTAAGATTTTACTTATTTTAATTGAAAGGCCTATGATTTATAGTGAAGTAAATTAATATAAACATTCACTAATCAAACACCTGACATGATTAGTACAACAAAGGTGAGCAAAAACCATGTTGATAATACTGCATTCTCAAAACAGACAAAAAAAAAAAAAAAAGAAAGAAAGAAAGAAAAATACTCAAAACATTTCCATTTTCCATTTACCTGCATAAAGCCTCAATGGCATCTCTGTCCAAAAAATCATGCTCTCTCTTGACCAAGGAAATATCAATGGGGAACAGAAGATCTATAAGAAAAATAAAAACACATATGTTTATTGGGCACCTAAATTCTCTTTGTTTGTTTGTAATTTTTTTTTTTATTAATTTAATTTTTTAAATTTACATCCAAGTCAGTTAGCATATAGTGCAACAATGATTTCAGGAATAGATTCCTTAATGCCCCTTACCCATTTAGCCCATCCCCCTCCCACAACCCCTCAAGCCACCCTCTGTTTGTTCTCTATATTTAAGAGTCGCTTATGTTTTGTCTCCCTCCCTGTTTTCATATCATTTTTGCTTCCCTTCCCTTGTGTTTATCTGTTCTGTATCTTAAAGTCCTCATATGAGTGAAGTCATATATTTGTCTCTCTCTGACTAATTTTGCTTAGCATAATACCCTCTAGTTCCAACCATGTAGTTGCAAATGGCAAGATTGCATTCTTTTTGATTGCCGAATTAATACTCCATCATCTTCTTTATCCATTCATCCATCGATGGACACTTGGTGAACACCTGAATTCTTGCCAATCTAGCCCAGTTTAGCAGAGGAAAAAAAAGTAATTTGTTGAACACCTACTGTGTGCAGGACACCTCATTTCCTATCAAGTGCTATGGGAGAAAAAAGCAACTTAAGACAATTCCATCGGCGTCCTAAAGGAGCTTAGATGTAAAGTGGTCTGTGGACTCAAAGATCCGTTCTTGTCAAAAGATAAGTGGTTCAAAACACTGTTCCACCTTTAAACAAATCAGCAGGCAACAGACCCCTGCTATAAATTATTATGTAAGCCAGAATCAATACCAGAAGGATACTCCTTTTTAATGTGGTTGTATTTTTTTTTTTCCCATGTGTGTGTGCTCACATTTGATCAGGGGAAGAGGTCATGGAAAACTGGGCCAAGGAAAGGTCTAGAGAACAATGGCAAGTGGTAGTAAATGGAATCTAACCATTTGCATGACATCAAAAGCTAAAGAGAATTCAGGATATGCTATTTTTAAACAAATATTAGCACTTCCATATGGCTTTTCAGGAGTTTATATAACTCCCCCTAAAACAAAAGGCCAGCTACAAGCTGTGTAGAACAATAGAATTCCAAATCCCTTAATCTGTAGGAGAGTTCAGTACTCAGACTACTGGGAGTTACAGCAGAACTGAAAAGGCAAAAGGGGGGAAAAAGTCAACTCAGTAGAAGAATTCCCTTTTTTATCCCTTGTTGATAAATACATTCAAGGAGAGGGGAGGATGACTGGGAGCATCACTGTGGAAATTTACAACAGTTCTGGAATTGCCACTGCATAAAAATGAGTTATCCTCTTTGGAGTTGCAGCTATTAGGTATATTCAGTCTTCCCCGGAGAATGCTTATATGATATGCTAAGTATGAGTTCTTCTGTGCACCTCTGTGGGCCAGGAATAGGTGAAATAAGTCAGAAAGGCAGGAAACCATGATTACCATAACCGAGAGAGAGAGAGAGAGAGAGAGAGAGAGAGAGAGAGAAACCACAAAAAACAAAAACCAACGCCATGGCCTCTAAAATGGCTAATGCTGCAATACTGGGATAGACCCGCTCTCAGGAGTTCTGGGGATACAGGTGATTGGTAATGAATGTCCTAGTTCTTCAGCTGACTGTTACATTTTTATGGTTTCCAACTTCCAGTCGCTGGTTTTATAGAATGGAGCTCCGTATTCTTAACAATCTGTTTGCTAGAGATAATGATAAAGAGTATCTTTTTTTTTAACGTTGGAAACTAACATAATGAGTGATAGAGTCTATTCTTCGTTTTTCTGAAAGTGAGAGTTAGATTATTGATACTATTCCCTGAATAATGCAGGCAGACCAATGAAACAGCCCAAGATTTACGAAGAAATATATGAAATTGAGTATTGCAGGAATTTATCTCTTCATTAACTTATAGACCAACACTATAGGCTCATAGTGAATGTAAACTATTGTAAATACAAGCACAGTAGACTATGAAGCTATTTGGAGGTTGTGACGTTTTATATCACTTTGAACAGACACCCAGAGCGTCAAGTATTAAATGACAGAGCTGACATTAAAGAATATATTTTAATACTTTCACAGCGGAACACCAGATCTATAAATGTAAATTAAAAGCTCCCATGTCTGTTAAGTGTATAGGAGATCACGACTGTGTTATTTTAGCAATTCTAACTTATTGTACCCAGAACTGTATTTTAGACTCTTTTCCGATGCAAATTAACTTGAAGATTCTGTTAAAAAAAAAATTCTCGAGAACATAGGGACTAGATGTAAGACAAGTGAAATAATTAAATAAATGATTTTCTCTTATTTGCCTAGACTCTTCTGAAAGGACTGTTTTTTAAAAGATATGATTTACCAATGTACAGAAGAAGCTCTTAGTTCTTCATGTTAGGATTTAATCGGCCAGCTTGGCTTTAAGGGCAGGAAGTATAAATCGCTGAAGACCAAAATAAAGCAAAACAGGAAGACAAGGAATGTGTGGGTTGCTGCACAGAGTGGCAGGATGTAGTGCAGGAATTATAGCCCAGAACAATACACAGTCTATCTCAAAAGCAGGCTAAGGCTTCAAAAGACTTCTAAATGTGAAGAGATCCCAAACATATTCCATGAAAATGCAGTCTGAATTTTAGGATGCGTTAAGAAGGAAGACAGAGACTGGGACCGAGTCTTAGCAAACACACACTTCACAAAGTACTGCTTGGCAGCAAATCAACACCAAAAATGAACATAATTGGAGGAAATTTAATTTCTAAACAGAAGAACAAAAGGACAGCCACCTTACTGCCACTGCTAATGCAATTATCTTTCCCTGTCTCCAGTGGAGCTGTGAATTGAATGCGATACAAGGGAGGTCCCTCCCCAGCCCTCCCTACCTCCAAGCACTTACGAAAGACAGAGATACTCTAAATCTTAATAGGTCAGAAATTCTCTCTAAGGGACAGATAGGCAACTCCACCATAATAAGCATGCACGTTAACCAAGTACCTTTCAAAAAAGAAAGAAACAAGAAAAAAGGAGAAAGAATGCGAGATCTCTACAATGGAGGAATAATAAGATATTTTACACAGTCTAGCAATAAAATAATTCTGAATTCAGCTTCATGGGAAAATACCACACATTGAGTCTGGGCCACAATGAACAAGAGCAGGTAGTGTAAATCAGGTAATGAATTATTTTAGCTGAGTGAGCTAGGGAAATAAAGATGATCTCTATGGTCTCTGCCTGATTTCCTTCTGGGGAGTTCTCACCCACCCACTCCATATCCCTCTTCAAGGCAACCTGCTGATCATGTCTAGCACTTCTGAGCTTACGAACTATACCTACTCTTAGCATGGGCTCATGGGCTTTGCTCATGTGTTAAAGAAGGTTGCCAGTGACCATTAGCTCCGCCTGAGAGCCCAATGCCACTTTCCAGTAAGAAGTCTGATTCCTATTACCCTAGAGGAAAAGACATGTTTTACACTCACTATTTCTTGTGAGAAGAGCCAGACATCCTTGGTGAAAATATTTCATTTCAATTGACTCTTTTAGAAATTTTGTCGCATGATGGCATCTCCTTCCTTCTTAGGTGATGAAAAAGACGTATTTTCTAAATGTAAATCAACCAAAATTACGTTTGCTTTTTGAGATTCTGGCAATCCCTTAAAAGTCCTCTTTGACGTCTGAATGACGCTTTTATTTTTATAGAATATGTAGCATTTACCACAGTGCTGGGCATCCCTGTTGGTGTAGAATTAATAGTGGTTTGTTGATTAGCTGAATGGATGATGGATGAATGAATGAGAAATATTTAGTGTCATCATCTCAGCAGAGTTGAGGAAACAAAGATGCTTCAGGTGGAAGAAGTCCTGTTGGTCATTTAATTTATTCTCAATTTAGGAATCACTTCACTATTCACCCAACATTTGCTTGCAAATTACCCATATAGATGGGGTTCACTGGTTCACAACTGTAATTTTTAATCATTTATTTATTTATTTTAAATGTTTATTTTTGAGAGAGAGACAGAGTATGAGCGGGAGAGGGGCAGAGAGAGAGAGAGAGGGAAATACAGAATCTGAAGCAGGCTCCTGGCTCTGCACTATCAACATGGAGCCTGATGCGGGGCTCGAACTCACGAACCGGGAGATCATGACCTGAGCCAAAGTGGGATGCTTAACTGACTGAGCTACCCAGGCACCCCCCTATTATTTTTTTTGAGAGAGAGTGAGAGAGTGTGTGCACATGCATCAGTGGGGGAGGGGCAGGGGGAGAGGGAGAATCTTAAGCAGGCTCCACGCTCACCATGAAGCCCGATGTGGGGCTCAGTCTCACGACTGTGAGATCATGACCTGAGCCGAAATCAAGCGTCTGACGCTTAACCCACTGAGCCACCCAGGCGCGCCTGTAATTCTTTTTATTTTTATTATTATTTAAAAAAAATTTTTAATGTTTATTTATTTTTTGACAGAGAGAGAGAGAGAGAGAGAGAGAGACAGAGAGACAGAGAGAGCATGAGTGGGGGAGGGGCAGAGAGAGAGAGAGAGAGAGAGAGACACAGAATCCGAAGCAGGCTCCAGGCTCCGAGCTGTCAGCTCAGAGCCCGACGCGGGGCCCGAACTCACAGGCCGCGAGATCATGACCTGAGCCGAAGTCACACGCTCAACCGACTGAGCCACCCAGGTGCCCCTGTAATTCTTTTTAAATGATAACATGTACAGTATGATAAGAATCCCATGTAAATGAACAGCCTATTCCTTTCGCCACCTGCACGTATGCTCCACCCACACCTGGCACCGGAAACTCAGGATGAACCACACCTGAGGAGCCCTTCATCCTGGGCTGCAGCATCCCAGTAACCGCTAAGGGCACTGGTGACAAAATGAAAGAGTAAAAATCCAGCCTAGATCATCATCTTCTTTTTTTTTAAAGGTCCATTTTTCTTAATTAAAAATGTGAATGCCACAGAAAAAATAATATTCACCAAATGACAGTCTTAAACAACAGTGAAAAGCCTAATTACAACCTGGGGGAATATATCTGCAACACATGACCAATGAAGGCTTGCTAGAATGAATGAAGAGCTCTTACAAATCATTATGAAAAGTGCCATCAACTCACGAGAAAAATGGGGAACAGACATTTCACAGAAGAGCAAATGCATATGGCCAGATGACATGAAGAAACGAACATTACCATTCACGCTCAGGGAAACTGAAGTCAAAATACATCCACGTGATTGGCAAAAATTAAAGTTTGACAAGATCAAGTGTTGAGAGCATGTGAACAGACAGAATCTTTATAGAATTACTGGTAGGGGTGAAAATCAGTATAAGCACATTTGAAAAATCTGCACTGTAAAACTGAACATACGTATTCTCCATCACCTAATAATTCTGCTTCTGCGTATTACAGATAAGACAGATTACTGCAGATGTACCACAAGAGTACTACAATATACAAGAATGTTCCTAAGACTACAGTTTATAAAAGTAAAACAGAAAAGGCTGAAATGCCCACCAATCGGAGAGTGAATGTGAGTAAACTGCAGTCTACCCACACAACGGGCTATTTACACAGCAGTCAAAGCAAGTGACCTAGAGGGACCCACAGTATAGAAGAATCTTAACAATATACTAGTAAGTGAAAAAAATTAAATCCTACAAGATTACATAGAGCATAATATCCTTTTTATAAGGGTAAAAGCAACTTTATAAAAATGTATTAGGAAAGTGCAAAAGGAAAATGACAAATAGAAGTTTCAGGATGACCGTTATTTTGGGTAAGGGGAGTAGAGGGACCTAATGGGAGATGTTAGTTGCATTATCATCATGGTCCTAGCTTTTGTTTTGAGTGATGAGGGTCTTATGACTTGCTACACTGTTTTCTTAATGAACTACTTTAATGAACACTAAAATGTCTGAAACTAAATCATAGATCAATAATATCATGAACCAAGGATATGATTGCGCCAATTAAAAAAAAGTGGCATTGCCCGCTCACCTTCATAAAGCTGTGCGTACTGGGGGAAACCTGTTGCCCGTAGCCAATCACAAGCTTCCTTGGCTTCAATTTCTGTAATAGAACAGAAGAAAGACAGCAGTGTGAGTCATGTGGACCTCAGCATGCTTTCTTCCTTAACAAACTCTGATTTTGTTATAGAAGCAAAATAGGCCTATTGACAACGGATAAGCAAAACAAACATATACACATACATAAAAGCCACGTAATTCAAATGATTTAAATTATTGTGCATCTCTTCAGACTTTACAAAATGCACATAACAACCTGACTTTCCTTAAAAAATAAAAATGGGGTCTTAACAGTAGGTTACTATTCTGTGCTGCTCCTGTGTTCTGGTTACAAATCAGTAGGAAAACAGGGCACAATGAGCAGTTTTAAGAGGGATTAAATAATTTTAAGCCCAGATGGTCTAACCTGGTTTACTCTTCACATCAACAAAAAGCCACCAAATACACGTGACACCCTGGAAGAGAACTAACCTGCCCAATGGAACAGACCTTCTGCCCCACAATGGGATGTGCAGAGAAGGTCCAGGTGCTGAGGCAATGTGCCTTTAGGTGCATCCAGCAGTAGAGACCCAGGCTGTCAGGTGACCCAGAGGGCATTAAGTCCATAAATCCCACAATCTTGGCAGGCCAAAATGCCTAATAAAGCTCTGCTTCCCTGTGGTTAACATCTTGTAGATAGTATTGATAAACAGAAAGCCCATGAGCACCTGACACACTGTGTTCAAACTCACTCAAGCACGTACTTACAATCCAGTTAAAACTGACTCACAGAGCAGGTCTGGGGCACACTCATTAGTTTCTCTGCTTGCACAAAGAATATTCTTTCAACTCTTCTTCCCGCCTTCCACAGGCCATGAGAGTACTCAGTTATGTAAGGCGATTCACTCATTTATAAATGCCTCAACATTGATTAATTTATTCCAGATTCAAATCTTCATTAAGCATCTCTCCTCTGAGCCAGAGGGAGGCGGATAATCCATATTAGGAGAAGCATACATATCTTACTTTTGTCTAGTAACTTTACGGTTTCACAGCAGTTTTTCTCCTATCATTTCACGAATTCCTTGGCCTTTAAAGAAAGGTAATTTAGAACACTCAAATTCTTTAAAGCAAGTAGGGATGTCCTTATAGAGCACGCCAAAGCAAACAACAACCTGCTATCTCCTGATGAGTTAGTCAATAAATACCTAAACTAAATCAATTAAGGCACTTGAGTGGAAAAAAATGACATGGCCAAGTTTACTTGCATGAATCTCTTCAGCGTAGTGATGAAAGCAGCATTATTAAACATGAGATTCAGGAGTGAATTCAGGACAGGAGGGAAAAGTGACATACATACATAAGAACCTCAATGTTTGCTCAGAATAGAAGAACATATAGAATTGTCCAGTTTGAATTACCTGTAGTTAACATTTTTTTCATGTATTCATATCCACACCTTGTCTCAGAAAGGGATTAAAGAAGCTTTACATAAAATCATAAAATAAACACTTTCTAGACAACTGTATTGCTGGAAAAACATAAAAGCTCAACGTTTTATTTAAAAGAAGAAGGAAAATTTTTTTCCTCTATCTCTGTGACCCCTGTTCAAAGACAGACAAGGAAAGAAAAAAAGCTAAGTGTTTGTTTAAAAAAAATAAAAAAAAAAATAACTCACTTTTCCTGACTATTTAGAGGTATTTCCATTGAACAGATTGTTAGACTCTGAACAACAGATTGTTAAAAAGTAAATGTGCTTGCTCTCTTAATATTTTACTCAACAAGTGGTGAGTAACCAGAAATTCTCAACATCCATTCTTTTCTGACTTACATTGAGACATGACACTGGGTCAGCACACGCACAAAAGCCTGAATTAGACACACTTCACCGGCCAATATTGCTACCTATTTAGAGCATGTTTCTGATTTTCTTATTACAATGGCTTCCTGCCAAGAGGCATGTAAGATACAAGGCATTTTTCTAAAAAGACTTCATATTTATTTTTATAATACTTTACAAATTACCAGATGTTCTCAAACATATTGCTCATTTAAGGCCCCCAGTGATTTCAGAAACCTAAAATACTTATTGCTATCTTGTCATTCTCTTAACTCACTCCCTACCACCAAGGAAATGAAAAGCCCCCACGTGACCACAGATTCATCTAAAAAGCTGTGTCCAAATAGCCACACTTCTCAGGGCCACTTGGTTAGAAAGGAATGGTGTGAACAGGCAAAGCTCTGCTTCTCCAGCAGATAATCTAGTTAAAGGCTTACAATGGCTAAAAAGCAGTATTTTCAAGAACTGCAGAGATCCAGGTACTTTACCTTCCTTCCTTACCCTAAACTAGACGAAAATGTGTCTTTCTTTCAGGTGTGAAACCATGGGAAATAGGAAAAGTCTGTATCATATCTAGCTTCCACTTAAGAATGTCCACTCGTGAACCCTTGGGTGAAGAACAACTGAAAACTCACTGCTCCTCTAGGCATCAGAATTAGAACACTGTAAAAACTGTAAAAAGTTGTCACTGGTTTTTTAAGAAATGAAATAGTTACGGACTTCACTCCCACCCCTTTCCAATTATTGAGAGAAAATGGTAACAGTCTGATGTAAGTGCTGATTTGGGAAAAAAAAAATCAGTATTTTCATTTTACTTAACGTGAAGTGAATACATATCTACATCCAAGTCGAGTAGAGAACACCCTTTCTGGTTTCGCCCCTGATCCAGTCCATAACTTTCCCTCTTGTCTCCCAACTAAAGCGCCACGTCTCCAATTCTGTCCTCTCTCAGAGGAGAGAATCCTGGCTCATCACACTTCCCAATCTATAGTGTTGATCTTGTCTCTCTCTAACTTCACTAGAACTCCGCTGCTTGGAAAATCAAGTCTGAACACCTCTGCATGGTTTCCCCAGTTCTCCGGGAGGCATGCAGCCTGATTTTTCAGCTCTCTCTATTCACTCTATCTCCCAGCGAAAGCAAACTCAGTGCTCATCTCCCCATACACCACTGTGACTTCCCGGCATGAAATGATCTTCCTTGTTCTCAGTGTCAAATTTCACGCATCCTTCAAGGTCTATCCCAAATGCTGCCTCCCAGATGCCTCCCTTCTGACAATTCTGTCAATGGCTAACTTTTTTATTTTTTTATTTTTTAATTTTTTTTTTTTAAAGAGAGAGACAGAGACAGAGCATGAGCAGGGGAGGGGCAGAAAGAGAGGGAGACACAGAATGTGAAGCAGGCTCCAGGCTCTGAGCTGTCAGCACAGAGTCCGATGTGGGACTCGAACTCACGAACTGTGAGATCATGACCTGAGCTGAAGTTGGTTGCTCAACGAACTGAGCCACCCAGGCGCCCCTCAATGGCTAACTTTTATTGAGTGCTTCATATGTGCACGACCCTGTCTAAGCATTAAAAGGCATATTAATTCATTTACTTTTCACATTGATCCTAAAACATGGATTACTAAAATCTCTATACAGACGAGGAAACAAGCAGAGAAATAAGTTCTTAAAATGAGTTTTCTTTACATTCAAATGCCACAGTGGAGACAGAACTAGGACTCACAGAAATGAGCAAGACAGGTTCTTCCCTTAAAAATATATATGTAACACTGAGCAACATTTAAAATATTAGAACCATTGGGGCGCCTGGGTGGCTCAGTCAGTTGAGCATCCGACTTCAGTTCAGGTCATGGTCTTGCCGTTCATGAGTTCAAGCCCCGCGTCGGGCTCTGTGCTAACAAACAGCTCAGAGCCTGGAGCCTGCTTCAGATTCTGTATCTCTCTCTCTCCCCCTCCCCTGCTCATGCTCTGCCTCTCTCTGTCTCTCAAAAATAACTAAATGTTAAAGAAATTAAAGAAAAATAAATAAAATATTAAAACCATGTATACATTGCATTACTTCAGTCACTAAATTCTCATGCCCATTTTTAGAGGTCTCTAACTGGCTCTAAAGGTATGACTTTTCCTTCAATATATGCAACTATGAGGATGATATTTTTAAATTTTTTTTTTCAACGTTTATTTATTTTTGGGACAGAGAGAGACAGAGCATGAACAGGGGAGGGGCAGAGAGAGGGAGACATAGAATCGGAAACAGGCTCCAGGCTCTGAGCCATCAGCCCAGAGCCCGACGTGGGGCTTGAACTCACGGACCGCGAGATCGTGACCTGGCTGAAGCCGGACGCTTAACCGACTGCGCCACCCAGGCGCCCCGAGGATGATTTTTTTTAATGTTTTTTATTTATTTTGAGACAGACAGAGAGAGAGACGGGGCGGGGGGGAACAGGGGCATAGAGAGAGGGAGAGAGAGAATCCCAAGTAGGCTCCATGCTCAGAGTGGAACCTGCTGCGGGGCTCGATCCCATGAACTGTGAGGTCATGACTTGAGCCAAAATCAAGAGTTGGATGCTTAACCAACTGAACCACCCAGGCACCCTGAAGATGACTTTTAAAAAAATTTTTTTTAACGTTTATTTATTTTTGAGACAGAGAGAGACGGAGCATGAATGGGGGAGGGTCAGAGAGAGAGGGAGACACAGAATCTGAAACAGGCTCCAGGCTCTGAGCTGTCACCACAGAGCCTGACGCGGGGCTTGAACTCATGAACCTTGAGATCATGACCTGAGCTGAAGTCGGACGCTTAACCGACTGAGCCACCCAGGCGCCCCTGAAGATGATTTTTTAAAAACATTCTCTACTGGGCAAAAATGCCATCAGAAACCAAAAGCACAATGGAAATACAATGCTGCTTTAAAGCCTGGGTTTTCTCTGAGCAAACAACAGACAAATGTGTTGAGGAAACAGGAAATATTTATTGGAAACAGCTTTAGTGGTTAGTTGTATAAGATGAATGAGGTCCAGGAGACCCTTTTGTGTAAGGCTGGGAACCATTAGTCCATATTTGCACATTTCCCGGCATGAAGGGATGACCCTGTCTTCCCCTTACCCTCAACAGTGAGTTAAACAGAAATTCCCAACCCCATCATCATTCTGTTGAACTCACTGATCTTAACCAGTTGAGCAACAGTAATTGGGTTGAGATGTGATTACTTCCATCTTCT